GTCCAAAAGGATATGGCAGATATAAAAAAAAAAAAAAAATTAGAAAAGGTTCAAAGGAAAGTGGTGATCAAAGATGTGACATGGCTTCATTGGAGATTACTATGTAAGGGAGAGCTCTTCAATCTGGAGAAGGCTGACATGAGATTTCATTGACATTACAAGATCTGTGACACAGAGAGTTTAAAATAAGGTTTGACATTACCCTCCCCAGTACAAATGCTAGAGTACATTAATAAATTAAGGCCCAGTTCAAAACACACAAAGAGATCACTCTTTGCTTGGAGAGCAGTAGATGTGTGGAACTACTTTCTGAAGGATGTGTGCCTGCTCATAGCTTGTCTGTCTGATAGCCTTAAGGAGAGATTGGTCAAGTTTGTGGAAGAGAAACTCATTGAAGATTACTAAGTAAAATCCGAGACACCACATCTGTCACCAAGTTAAAAATAGTTGTTTGCTGTGGGTGTTTTAAGGGGGAAGTATTATATGTTTGCTGTGTTCTTGCTCATCTTGAGACATCTGCTCATGGTCAATATTGAAGACATGCTACCAAGCCTTTTTTCTAACCTCATAGGTTGTTAGGTTTCGTAAAGGTTCTTAGGTTTCTTGAAGGTTGTTTTGGGGCATGGTGCTAACATTTCACTAAAGACCTTAGCATAAAAGCTGAATAAACAATTTTCTAATGAGAGGAGTAATATACCAGGTAATCACAGGAGGTCTGTGAGTAAAAGATGTGGTATACACCTATAAAGAAGGCACAAATGATCCTAGAAAACATGAAGTACTTCAGATAGAACTAGGATGCATTTGTGTAACTAAACCTATTCCCAAATATTATGTACCACTCTAGTTATCGTTTTCACATGCAGAAGGGACTACTAGGACAGTTGTAGGAACAGAGAAGTCTGTTTTACAGAAGCGTGGGGGCTTTAACTGGATTACCTGAGTGGATGCTATTGCTATGTATAAATGCTTCATGCCAGTGAGGGAAAGGAACTAATCAAGGTAAAGGACAGTTTTGGCACAAAAGCAAATATGTATAAACTGGCCATGTGTGAGTCTAGGCAGAAAACTGTGGGGAATCCTTCTTGCCTTTTGAGCAACAGAGTTTTGCAGTAGTCCTCCAAGAAAAGTCATGGAGCTTGAAATAGTAAAACTTTTAGGGGAAAAAAAGGATGAGGGTGCTCTCGATATTTAAACTCCTGTAGTTAAGCTAATGTTGTAGAAGTCCAGAAAAGGGGCACAGCGTTCTCTGTTCCTTGGAGTTGCTCAGGGCCTCCAGCTGCTCCTTGTAGCCCGCTGTGAGGCTCTGTCTGTTTTGTCTCAGCCAGATTTTGCATTGTTGTTTACACTTTCTGTGTTCCTGTTACTTCCTGACCATGTCCTTTCAATTCCTTCACGTAGGGATTTGGATCTAATCCATCCTTCTGTTTTCTGATCATAGCCATCTTGTGAGATGCAAACACTTGCTGTTTAGCGAAAAGGAAAAAAAAAAAAGAGGATGAGGTATAATGCAGATTTTGGGGTATTCGTTTGCAAGACCAGAAAATAGAAACAGTGGCAGCTGTTAACAGCTTGAACAAATTGTTTGTAGTGGTTCTTTACCAAATAAATATGTAAAACCTTTCCCAGTTTTGCCTTATGTTCTCATTTTCCAAGCTGTTTATTAATAAAACTAGTAATGATGATGACAGATTGATTGTCCACAAAGCAGTGTGAGAAAGTATCTTTAAAAAGAATTACCCTAATAAAATTCCACTAAATATATTTTAATGTCTTGTGACAAATCTTTACGGCCCCGTATTGCCATTAACCAAGAAATTCACATGCGAGTACATCTATTTACTTCATCCAGGCCTTGCATGAAAGGTAGATAATGTTCCTGTGGTAGAGATGGAGTAACTGAGGTACCTAATGAAACTGCTTAAACTCATGCAGTAAAGTTGCCATCAGTCATAATTTACTTGTATCTATGTAGTCTATGGCATCTATGGACAAAACAGTCAGGAGACGAAAGGAGGTTGTTACTCCTCTCAGAACAAGGTGCACTCTCCTCACTTTCCTTCCTCGCTGCTTTCCTTCCCTCTGGAATGAAGGAAAAAGATGTTTTACTTGTATGTGCTTAGTGTGTAATCTCTTTATAAATAATTTATAAGCTGTGTAAGTTTTGTTTTGTTGTTTAAAAGTCTGTGTAGCTGAGTTTCTGATCTGAGTTTTGAACTTAGTTTAGCTTTGCAGTATCTTTGGGGAAATGGCCAGGATTTGGAAAGTAAGTTTAAACCCACACTAATTCTGGTAGGGATTTGTTCTTCTCAAATGCCAGATTTCTCGTTTGTTGAAGAGATGAGCCCTTGCACATCAGCAGGGAGAGGTACTACTCTGCTAAGATAGGTTGCAGCTTTGAAGGAGTTGAGGAGATTTGTGTATCAGGGGTTAGTGTGGTTAACATGTCAACAGGTTTATCTAAAATATATTTCTGGTTGTGTTATATTTCCTTCTATTATTTATACTCTTCCCTTACAAGAGGTAAGAAGGAAGAAAAAAAAACAAAACCAAATGCAACCACCCATGGCAAGATCAGCACTCTCTACTGTACAGGAGTGTGGAAGTAGCAGGGAATGAGCTAGGTAAGCAGCACCCAGGAAGGAAGCCATCCAGTGTTCCTTGTGGTTCACAGCACGATTGTTAATGTCAGTGGATTCAGAGGACTTGGAGGAGGTCTTGGAAGAGATCTGCTAGGTGGTGATGTGAAGACGCTAATCACTGTCCATTCACAGGACCAAGTGGTGAAAAAATACACCTTCATGTAATAAATTAAGATAGGAAGCTGGAGGTGGTTTTTCAGTGCTTAAATTTCAAACACCTTTGTGTCTTTCAAATTAATTTATATATTTTATGAGTGATACATACATGTAAACATGCAGATGATCTGCATTTGATATCTGAAGTTGATTACTGTTGCAGTTGTAAACTTATAGTTTCAGAAACTTTTTGGGATCAGTGGAATATTAGTACTACACAGACAGAATAACCTCACATGCTTTAGCTTTCTGTAAGTAGTGATTAGCTTGAATAATTAGTATTGCGGCTGTATGTAACATGCATAGTATCACAGTTGGTTTTTTCTTATTGGTATTTTTGGAATATTTGAAAATCTCAGATGTGTAGAGCTTTTAAAGGAATGTACTTAGGCCCTCTGCTGATCAGTCTGAGAACAGAAAAGATGAAAAACTACCCTGCAGTACTGAAATGCCGGCAAAATGAGCCTTTTTGGAGATGGAAAGATAAATGTAGGACAAGACTAGAACTATACACTGTTCTATTTAAACAGGGCCATTCCCTAGCATAATTTCAGAAAAATCTAAAACCACCCACCAAAACTCAACAGTTGTAGGAAAGACAAGTTATCCCATATTGAGATGACGTCAAATAAAGCCCATTAAAAGATCTGTTTTGCAAAAAGGCCCGGTCCCAATGCTTTTTATTTCCTTGTGCTTTAAGAAGACTAAATTTCAAATCTAGTGCATTCTGTATTCAGGCTAGAATCATAACAAAGTAAAAGTAAGGGCAAGCACCTGATGGTAACACTTGTCAAATCTTCTCTGAAGTTTTAAGAGTCTGTTGAGGAAGTCTTCTATGGTCAGGTAGTCAGGCAGTCTGAGTGTAAGTATTTAGTTGATATGCTTAATTCTAAGAAGCTGCTTGAAAGCATCAAGTCTCTGAGCACTGCTTAGCATCACTTTCTCCCTCATTTTTGAGTGTGGGTATGTCAGGGAATGTTTTGCAATGTTAGCTCTTTATTAGCTAATGTGTGTTTACAGTGCTTTGAAAATAGCAAGTATCAGGCAAAGCATCAGAACTTTCAGAGATGGGCCAGTACAAGAACATTACAAAACACGGTGGTGAGAAATTATATAATACTGTATCAAAGTCAAACTGGGGTGGGGAGGGAATTTTAGGAGGAAAAAAGGTAGCAGGATGGGCTTTATGCTTCTGAAATTCATGCTACTGTTATTCTGATTACAGTTGTTTGCAAAATTAAAAAAAATATGATAGCCCACTTGAAAATGTGTATCTGCATTAGCACAATACCAGTGCAACATTTACTGATTCAGCAACTTCTTTACACAGTTCTGGTCCACATAGCCTCCTTGTAGTTACCTTCATCTTGCCTAAACATTTTTTCCTCCAAAACAAGGTGACCTCATCTAACTAGGTTTGCGCGTAGTCTGTGACATATACTGTCCCCAGAACTGTTCTACATCACACTCAGGCCTTTTTGGCCTGTTCCGCAAGTGGATTGGTGAGAGCTGGACAGATAGACATGCTAGATCCCCTTGGCCAGTGGCTTGACACCTTGCCAGGCTGTGTGTATTTGCAAGTATGGGTGTAGCTGTGCGGTCACTGAGCTTATTCTTTGGTGTTTCCCAGATTGCTATTGCTCTTTGCCATAGTGTTATGGACTGATTGTTGTAAACTGTATGTGGCAGCTCTTACCTGATTTGTCTCGTACTAGAACAAGGATAAATGCGCACAACAATAAAGTTCAATAGCAGATGAATTCTTAAAAAGCACCATCTACATCATCATTGGCAACAGCTTCTAATGGAATAAAACAGTCCTGCTATCCCTTGATACTCACATATAAGTGAATGCAGCATGTACTTCAAAAAAAAAACACATGAAAAATAGTAAGAAGAAAAAAGTAGAAGAATGTGTATAATAATTAGGATTGCGTTACTCAGTGTATTGGAAAGCACTTGAACAATGATACACAGGATCAAAAAGACACACAAGATATCCAGGGTGATTTTTTTTTGTGAAGTGTTTTTGTTGGTAAAGAAACCATAAAAGTGAGTTTTGTCAAGACTTTGTGCATTACTGCTGAGTGTATCCATAACAGCAGAACTTGTAATTTTGAGTTTACTGCTCTTTGGCTCTCTTCATTTTTCACTACTTCTTCTTTTCTTTTCCTGTTTTTCCTATTAATTTTATTTCCTTAGATCTAACTGGCTAAAACCGTGCTGTGGGAGACGAGCAGCTGTGTGGCAGGTATTTTTGATCAGTGCAAGTCTCAACAGTTTCCTGGTAGCCTGTGTAGTATTGGTGGTGATTCTTCTGACTCTGGAACTCCTAATAGATATAAAGCTTCTCCAGTGTGAGTAGGAGGATTTTTTTAATTTTTTATTTTTTTTTTTATTTTTTTTTTATTTTTTTTCATTTTTGTTTGATTGGTTTGGGGTTTGTGTTGGTTTTGGTTTTTGTTTGGGTTTGTTTTTTGTTTTTTTTTTACATTTTTGATTAAATAAAGGTTTAACTTGCTGGGAGGTTTTTGAAGGGGGGAGGATGGTGGGGCCTTTTTTTTTTCCCTACCATTTAAGTGATTACTAGACTAGGTAAGAAATGTGTTTTTGTGGAACCCTGGTATAGTGAAGTCATTTGTTATTTTGCTGATCAAATTCAGTACAGGACAAATTTTCAAAGGTACAATCAGAGTATACATGCAGAGATCTGCACATATTGTCATTTGTAGTTGGAAAAAATCTGTACAGACACACTTGGTATACACAGGAGAGAAAGAGCCTTTGTGCTTCATTAATCTCTGATACTTCTCACATGCATGTGGATAGACAGAAGTGTTGAGCTTGCTAGGGTATTGGTGCTATCTCTTGTTAATTTACTTCTACTGAGGTGGGTAGGAATCTAAATTAATGGATTTCTGTCTTGTAATGCACTGAAATGATAAATATTTTCATTGTACTTTGCTAGTACACTTGGGAGTCAAATAATAGCTTAAATGGAGTTTTCTTTTATCTGAATTCACTCTACGCAGGTTCCACAATGGATATTGCAATGCTGTTGTTTTGCTACCTGATTCATCTTGTTTCTTCTACTGCTCTTTTCCTCTACTCCTTCCCTCACCCCCTTTTTCTTTTTTGCTTTTATTATACAAAGCTGAAATGAACACTAATACCAGATGCATCATTTTTCACAATGCTAAATGTTGAAGTGCAGCCTTTAGCATCTCTGTACAGTCTCAGATATGTTGAAATGGCAGCAAGGGGATTCAGACAACCCTGTAAATGCAAGAGCACCTATGTACCATGAAAGACCCGTGGTCTGGTATCTTCTGTGGCAAATTTAAACTGAGCAAACAAACTTTTTATTCTGATGAAGTCCTTTTATTTTTGTGATTTGTCAACTGGCATTAGTGGAGGTAGATTTAACTGTAAAGAATTAGGTATTAAGATTACTTCAGGGAACCTTATTTGCAGCCATTTAATAAATCCCATAAGATGAATAAATGACTAGTCTGTCTTTCCACACTGTTGCCCACCATTACGGCACATGCTGTTCTGAGTGTGGCCACTGTTCAAGTTGTTTCCTGTAGTCTGTAGTGACTTACAGCTCTAACAGGGTGGCCACTTCTTATGTAGAGCTTGTCGCTTCCTGTAGAGCCAAAGAGATGAAAAACTCTTGCTGTTAATTTCTCTTAGATTCATAACACAGTTTTTGCTTCCTTTGGAAGCACCTGCTTTCTTACCATTTATTTGCTGAAGAATCTTCCAAAGAAGGCTTCATTTTAGAGATCATTCCTCCTCTGTCTAGTGCATGTGATGCTCTAAAGCTCTGCAGTTCACACCGTGCGCATGACCTGTACGTGTTTGGTCGAGCCAGGTGTTGGAATAGTTCAGAGGCTGCCCCTGCCTGTAGCTGTATGGGTTTTCTCAGCACCCAAGCAAGGTCTCATTCCACTCTGTTGCTGCTTTGCATTTTAACTAAAGAATCAACCCATCAGGCTTCTTGCCTGTGTTAATTTGAATACTTTCTATTTTGTTTTAAATCAGAAAAAGGCTATCTTGGTGGGGCTGATAAAAATATTGCAGCTGTGTCATGTGAGGGATGTGTGTCACTTACATTAAGGTTTTAAAAAAACATTGGGCCTTTATTATGTTTTTAAAAAAAGTAATGGCAGTTTTAAATGATTCCTTGTTCTATATGACACCAGCCAATGCATTAGGATATGTTAGGGCATATTTTGTCATGGTGACAACTGCTATTCTACATCGTAGACTGCAATTACTTAGCTGCCTTTTTTTTTTCCCCCCCTTTTTTCTTTAAAAAGCTGAAGTGCTGTTTTCTTTGACTGTGACATTGAGAGCATCATTTTCCTCTCATACTTTTAGTGCAGTCTTTGGTTGCACTGCGTGCTTCTCTTGTGCACAGAATGGACAGTGTGGGTGATGTAGACCACGTTTTCACATGTGTAGGTCACACACATGGAGAGGACAGAGACCTTTTAGGATATCTTAGCACAAAGCATATTCAATGCCAGAATTAAAAACTCCAGAAAGCAGGGGATGTATAATAGATCTTTTACTATAGGTCTCTGTCCTGCAATAATTTTTTTTCAGTCCTATCCTCAAAGCTCTTCATATGCATTAACAAGGTAAATCTCAGTAATCTTGTGATGTTTTGCAAATGCAGAAATAGGTGTATATTAAGTCCCTTGCACCTCATCTCAAAAAAAGAGGCTCATGGCAGTTTCCAACCCCTCCTCCTCAGAAATATAGACCACGGTGTCCTTTTGTTGTCTTCAGGAGTCTTAGGGGAAAGCAACTCAGGAAATCATCTTGGTATTGCCCTCCCTCTGCAGTTAACTACAGCAGGCATGTCTGAAAAGGCGTCAGGCCTTCCTGGAAGTGGTGAAGCTGAAAAGCTCCACTCCCATCCTTTTAACTGCTGGATCAGGGCCCTGTCTGAGTACATGTGTAGCTGTGTGTAGAAAATGCCCGTTGTGGTGCAGCAGTGCCTCCATAAGAACGAGTTCAGGGCTTGCCCAAACCGTCCTGTGGGTCTCCGCTGTCAGCTCCTTAAAGCAGCAGTATAGTTTGCATCTGCCAGGAAATCATCGCCAAGAACAACATCCACTGAGAGCAAGCTACTATAATGGCCACTCGAGGTTTGTCAGGATGTGTTTTTCAACCCTCATCTCCTGGATTTACATTTTGAGGACATGTGAAAAGGGGAAGGAGGTAGACCTAGGTTGGCTGTGTTCCCCATTTTGTACTGAACCATTTTCTTCATGACAAAGCATCTGAATTTGCATCCATTTAACTTCTTCCCTATAGCACCAGACAAGGAAAATGTGATAGGAAGCAGAACTTTTTGTCTTTTAGCTACAGTTTGCAGCGGGTGGGTGGGTGGGAGAGTGTATGAAAAGTTGTTACTAGTTCAACAAATATGAAATTCTGCTCCAGATAAAAGTAAAAGCTGAAGAGCTTAAGTGCTTTGCCTCAACCAGTCCCAGTGACGTATCCAAACCACCATGGAGCAGGGATGAGCATCTCTTGGAGAAGAGCCTTCTCCCATTTTTGTAGCTTTTCAATACTTTTTTGAAAAGGAGTGTTTTGGAAGAGGCAAATATCCGAATTCAGTGTGTGGGCTGGTGATTCAGCTCTTGTACAAAACCTCCTTGCTTGGAAGGCTTTTCAGAGTTACTGTTTTACTGGCTATTTAATTGCACGCTGTCTGGCAACACATCCAGCACTGCTATGGTTAGTGCAGCGTCAGGAAGCAATTTCCTTTCCAGATTTGGGGTTGCTGTGTATTTTCTTGTCCACTAAGGGGCAGCTGGAGCCTTTGATGTCAATTGACAGCTGTTTGAAAAATAGCTTACAAATGGTTATAACTTCTTGTTCTTAATGCCACCCTATAAAGACAGTGTCTTGGTAAAGTTAAAGTATATTTTCCCATTTATTTCATCTTTAAGTAGTTCCTCTGCTGCACCACAGCAAATCCTCTCTCATCCAGCCCTCAGTGAGCCTCAACTGTCCGAGTTTCAATGCCAGCCTGTACTAACAGTTTTCCTTCTATCTTGATTTCTTCTACCTCCCTGCCATCCCCTTCCCACTGTGATTTGTTTTAATTTTAAGATAAATTCTTTATTTAGCGTATGCTCTGCATGTTCTAGAGCCTTAGTTAACTCTGCCACAGTCTTGAATCTTTACGTACATAGACATCAACTGCTTTAAGCTTTGCTGTTACACAGTAATTCCCTGAAACTGCAAGACTGCAGAGAGTGTTTTAACCTGTCTGCTATAGGGATGGTAGACTCATAACTGTCCTGGAGCAAAGAGAGAATTTTTTCTCTTCCTTGCCTTATTCCAAACTTGAGAGTATGTGGCCTTCAGAGTAGAATTTGCCAGCAGTTCAGGTATTGGACCCTTTCACCTTTCTGCTTTTTTTGCCAGCAATGAAGGAAGCTTTGATCAAAGAATTTCAGTTGAACTTACTTATTAAGGAATCTCCAGCTGTCAAGAGGTTCATTTAAGCCCATAATGGCAACCCATATAGAGTTCCATATACAGTCTCGCAACAAACTCATGTCTCAGTTTATTTCCTTTTACTTGCAAGCCAAGTAAGTTGAATCAGATGAAAGCCTGATTTAATGCCAGTGGGTGTCCATGCAAGGCTTTAGTACTTCATAAAATAGGACTTTTAATGAATTCAGATATGTTTTCCCAAGTGTTCCTGCCAGTCAGTTCCTGAAAGGACCTTTGTTCAAAGTCATTCCACTTGGAAAGTGGAATAACTACCTCAGCAATCTGCATGTGTAAAGAGTACCTATATGGGAAGTTAGTGTTTAGAATCCAGAGTGTCATAAATTGCCATTTTGATTTTCTCTTTACAGATTACTTTCCATGCAGGAGTTTGAAATGAAGGAATTTAACATAAGGAATTTTTGTCTTTCTGAAAAAGAGTGCTTACAACTGAAATTGTATGTCTAGGATTTTATTTAATTTATTGTAACTATCTTGAGTGTTCTCATAGAAACTTGCTTAAAGACAAAGCTATCCACATGACAAGTCACATTTCCTGAAGTAAACTATGCAAAAATAGTCACAGTATGTTTGTCGCACAAATAAGAATTGCTGGTATTTCACAAGCTCGTTAAAATTAAAATATTAAGATTGGATCTTATTAACAATAGCATTGGTTCTTTCCATGCTTATCTCACTGTGGCTTTCCTACAATCAAACCTGACTGACAGGAATGGGATCCTGAGCCGGTCGTGTCTCCACATCTGGAGAGCTGTACCAAAGCCTACTTACCTAGGTTATTTATTTAGATGATAGAAATGTATTCTGAAGCCTAGTGCTTCAGAATACAATAGTTTTTAAGCACCTGTTGCAGACCATTACTGATCTTCTGAGCTGCATTGTCAAAGACTGAATACAAGGAATGACGTGGGGATAGTAGAGCGTTTATTTCCTTACAGAATTCTCACTTGGGATTTTGTCACTCCTCTCATACTCGTGGAGCAGTGGCAGAGGGTCAGAGACCTGGAATGTGTGTGTCATTGCGTGCCAGCAGTCTGAGCTGTAAGAGCTCCAGTGAACAGCTGCTGCAGCTGTGTTCAGCTGAGCAGTTGGCAGGGTCGGAGCTCCATGTCCTGTGACATCCCATCTACTTTCTGGTACTTCCATTATAAAATTTAAGAAAGAAAGCTTTATTCTTACTTAAGTTATAGCAGTACTAATTATTTTTAAAAAAAGTTGCACTCTGCTACTATAACGATGCTTCATTGTATTGTGTTAATTGCAGTTTCAAGCGCTTCACAGTTTGCAGGAGTAATTCATTGGATCAGCCTAGTCATCCTGTCTGCTTTCTTTTCAGAGGTATGTATAATCAAAGTCTTTTACCACATACAGAACTGCATAGTATTTTTATGCTGCTGCTGGAATTAGCAAGAGTTTTAGCGGTAATTTGACTGAGAATAAATGTAGCACAGTATACTTCAAGGGAATAAAAAAGAAAGAAGAAAAAAAGTTAACAGTTGCTACTCCTACTGGGCAAACTAAAAAATCTTGTTTAGATTCGCACTGTTTGTCCGTTATCTGGACTTGGCAAGGAAACGAGGAACTCGCTGTCTTAAGAATTACAACTGGGAAACTACACTGAGAAATAAACATATCCAAATTGCTACAGGCACAGGACAGCGGTAGTTTCATCCATTAGTTCTCGCAGGAATCTTATTAGTGTCACTGGGTATAAGGTATAGGAATAAGATATATTCTTCAGGAATCAAGACTGCAGGTTGTTTTTTACAGACAGGTCTGTCTTAATAGTATGGTTATCTCCTTTCACAATTTAGGTAGGTAGTTTAGATGTTCAAGGATGCTGCATATATACACAGCAAGAGAATTAAACACACGGTGAATTTCTTTGCAAAAATGGTTTTGAATGTATGCATTGGAAAAGGCTGTAGACATGATGTAACAAATGACCGAATTGGGAAAATCTGTTGTAGTGTTCAACTTGATTTCAGAAAGAAGTCCTTGCTACTGGGACATTTATACTACTCCTGAAATAGCCCGAAATATTTCTTAAGGCTATTTTTTCAGGTCACAGTGTCTTACTTGTCACCAAAAAAAAGTTTTACATTTGTTAAATTGGAACTTGGCTTGGACTTCAGCTTTTTAAAATATTTTTTTTCTAGTTCCGTTAAGAGAAAATGTCATCCACAGAGATGCTGAAGTCTTCACTCCATTTAAATTAAAGTGAAGGTTACAAAAAAAACCCCAAAACAACCAGAAACAAACCCACCCGAAAAAAAAAAAAAAAAAAAGAAACTGTGATATCTGCAGGTGATTTTGATAGCTCTCTTGTGTTGAATTCAAACTCACCATATTATACAACATTCCATGGTTATGTTAATGACATGTATTTATTTGCAGATACCACTTTTGTGTTTCTACTTGTAACAGGGATTTTCTAGCTGGTGTTGCCAGGCTATCAGTGGGTACTTTCTCAAAGGATTTGGTGATATCAGGCAGGGGACTCAAGACTGCTTTGCATCCTGGCCATTCGATGCTGCAGCTACACAAACAGATACAACTCCTATCCTCATCCTTCAGCAGTGATTGTGGGTTGTAGGATATATGTAAACTGGCTGAAAAAAAAAATAAATCCCTAAATCTAAAAATTTTGCAGAATCTTTTGTTTGTCAGTTGCACATACTAATTCTTGAAGACTCAGGTTTGCTAGCTAGAGTCCATTCTCTGTAAAGAAATACTTTTGCATCTGCCCTGGAATCTTTCTTCAGTGGGGATTAGCACCCTGGAGCTCCCTGTAATCCTGAGCTTCCCAACAGGATCAGCTTGTAACTCTGCTGCTGGCAGCATAGATGCATGCTCACCTGATCTTCATTGCTTGCTGGAGCTTGTTCCACAAAAAACTTCTCCACTGGTCCTCAATTTCCTTCTGCTGAAGTGTTGTCTCAAGTTCCAATTTGCTTGCAGCACGAACCCCTCTTCTCAAAGCCTGGTGCAGTGCCTTGCTCCTGTGTCCTTCCCACAGTTCAGTTCATATGTTGACCGTTTTTGGTGAGATGTTCGTGGCAGTGCCGACAGATCCTCAAGGCCAGTACTGGTCTGTCTCATGGAAGAAATTAACTGAAACAGAGTACCCACATAAGTGGATGAACTGATTCAGAAGCATTTTGCAGGAAAACAGTAATAGAAATACTTCAAAAAGCCAAAACTAGTTGCTTGATTCACCATCCTCATTTTGTATCTGTTTGCTTTTCTCCTTCTGTCTATTAGGTGTTTGGAACCACTTCTCTTTGTTTGCTTGCTCTTCTGACTTTTTAGAAACCTCTTACCACTCACTTTATTATCTGTTTCTGTCTTCCCAACTATTTTCCTTCACCTGTTTGGTTATGACTTGAATTTACACCCCAGAAAAATGGGGCCACAAGGCAGCCACGTAAAGTCCACAGAGGAGGATAGAGTTTGCGATATTGGTTCACTTGGCAGTTTGAACTAGGTTAAAGCAAAAAAGGTGGGTCCACAGAACAAACTGTGTGTACTTCAAAGGCCACGATCTGGAAGAGAATGAAGGTGTAGCTTTCTTACTGGGTTTACCAGGACTGCCTTTGAGCCAGGTTTGCTTAGTGAGTAATGGCACATGAAATGCCTCTCATCACAGGAAAAAGAGAGTTTAATTTTTTCACATCCAGATCAAAACTTCATTTTTCAAGAGCTTACAAAATATTGCAAAAATTCCAGGTCACTTTTTTATCATCCATTTTAATTTTATTTACTCTTTTGGTGTCTTCAGGGGAGTTTTTGCCCTCTGATTCACAATAACATGAGTCAGCTATCTTTATTTGAAATTATTTGTTGAGAAGATCGTGTGTTGTACTGAGATTTTGAAGTCTGTGACTATTCATGCCAGGATGATTTTTCAGAGATGAGCAGGTTTCATTAGTTTTCTTGGATACAGCAAGCAACTGCTGAGAATTGGCTAGTCTTTCAGTCAGTGTGTTTTTCCTCAAAGCAAGGAATCAGGATTTCTAGTGTTCATAAAGGTTGTTTCCATGTCCGAAGTTTGGATGTTTTTTGTTTATTCTGTAGTTTAGTTCCCATTAGCTGTAAGTATAAATAGCAAATTCTTCAGAAAGGCCTCAACTTAGGCTTAAAGACTAAATAATGCAAAGCTGTAAAATACTTCTTAAAAGCCAGAAAACTTTCAGCACAAAATCTGAATGTTTTGGAAAAATGATGGGTTAAAAGCTGGAGCTGTAAAGACATTGCAAGTAATTACAGTCCTATCATTTTGGAGTTAAGACGACACTGGCTTTCTGCTTGATTGAAAAGAAGGGGACAAACATGGTAGCAACTGGTGAATGCCAGCAGAACAGTTGCTAATAAAAGTAAGTGGCTACTCTCACAGCATCTTTCTCTGTGCTTGTGCTACAGGCACAAGCCTTAAAGGGAGATCCTCCTCCCCCTCTGAGCTCTGCCCTGGTGAGACCTCACCTGGAGTATTGTGTCCAGTTCTGGGCTCCCCATTTCCAGAGGAACAGAGATCTACTCAAGAGAGTCCAGCGAAGGGCTACGAGGATGACTGGGGGACTGGAACACCTGCAGTATGAGGAGAGGCTGAGAGACCTGGGGCTTTTTAGTCTGGAGAAGAGAAGACTAAGGAGGGATCTAATTAATGCATATAAATACATGAGGGCTGGGTGTCAGGAAGGAAAGGGCAACCTGTTTTCACTTGTGCCCTGTGACAGGACATGGGGCAATAGACACAGGCTGGAGCAGAGGAAGTTCTATCTCAGCGTGAGGAAGAACAACTTTCCTGTAAGGGTTCCAGAGCACTGGAACAGGCTCCCCAGGGAGGTTGTGGAGTCTCCTTCCTTGGAGACTTTTAAGACACACCTGGATGCGTTCCTCTGTGACGTGCCCTAGACTAGATGGTCCTGCTCTGGCAGGGGAGCTTGGACTTGATGATCTCCAGAGGTCCCTTCCAACCCCTAACATTCTGTGATTTTGTGAATTTATTGCACTCTTTTGATTTGATATTCTCTGTCACTGTCTGTGACTTTCCAACTTCAAAACATCTTTATTCAAGTGAAGTGCACATCAGCTTTTTTTTTTGCCTTTTTTCACGTATTTGAACAGGATTTGCTAGTGGTGATGATTGTGTATGTTTGTCTCTGTTTACATACGTCACTATGATTTGTCTGTGCACCAAATGTTACCCAGATGTTAAGACAGAAGAGAAGAGAAAGACACTGGGGGGAACCCCAGTACCATCAGCAAGGCAAGGCCGGGGTTGTTCCCTATCAAGAGAGCAAATTCAGCCTTGGTAATAGTTGGCTGAGAAAAGGAATGTCACAGTGTTTTGGTAAGTGGATTGGAGTCTGCTTGTATTTTAATAGTCTTATCACATTGTCACAAATACTTGATTCTGCAGCCTTTGTTCAGTTCTGCTTTTCCACCAAGATTGTTGGGACTGTTTGTGTGCAAGTGTCCAGTTATTTGTATTGCTCTGTATATGCTTCAGTCAGCCAAGCAGTCAGGCATTCTGCTACCACTTGAGCGCTTCCCTGAGAGTAACCACGTCTTCTGATGGTCTTAAAATTAGGCAATCATGGAACTGCAACTTTTCCTGCATCTGTGTCCAAGAAATGTATTCTCAAATGGAGCAGAGGAAGTCTGGGGTCCTAGCTGATAAGGGATTTGTTTCATTAGCTATATGTCGTAAGTGCAGTTTAGATTTTCACTTCTAGGAAATGAAAAACAAACCACAAGGTTTTCCTTGTATGGTAGACAGAAGTGTTCATAGTACTGACACTTTACTCCCTGTTAATAGCAATTCCTGGAATGAAAGAAACCTCCTAAGGAAGACCCTACTGGTAGGGTTCTGTTAAAAAGGAAAAACATCCCAAATGACAGAACAAAAAGAAAAGGTTGTCTTTCCCATATCGATTTTAAATAACAGATACATAATTTTATATTGGAGAGATCACTTCTGTTATTGTTGTTACACTTTGAGTGAATTTCAAATAGCTGAGCAGAAAGGTAATAACCTATTAAATTGATAATTCTCCTGTAAGATGTAGCATCTTTTCTGGGTGTTGACTTTCATTCCATGTACACACAACTTCTCATGGTGCACAAATGCACTGCATTGCTGGCTGTATATGTTTTGATTTTTAAGGGAATTGATTTGAGGGGATCTAGAAACAACAACAAGGATTTGCTGTACTGATATAATTGATTAAGGTTGATTTAAGCTTCCTTCTTTGCTAGTGTATAAATAATCAAATATTTAATATATGGTAAAATTTCTTTTTTAACCACTTCTCTTGCTTCACAAAAAAAGTAGG